TTAAACCGAATTAAACCCAATTGTATTATTTATCGGGTTATAATTAACATAATAATCGGGTTAATTAATCGGGTTAAGTGATTCATATATAAAGTAACATTCATGTAAGATCGGGGTATTATTTATATAAAGGGTGTCCCAATGAATTTGAACTATTTGATATCTTATATTCTTTAAACAAATTATCCCTGATTATAACTATTTCCCTTTTCGATAACTAATGGAAATCTAATAGAATTAACTAAATATTAATTCAGTATGATTCAAATTCTATTTAACAGGCGTTTGCCTAATCAGGAAGACATTTATTGCAAATTTTTACATTTATATTGTTACAGATTTTGATCACCTAGCTTATTTCTGGAAATTGTTATCTTAGATGGATAATAATAATTTACAAGATTGATAGTCATAAGTACTAAGTTAATTTAAAATAATAATTAATTTTACACAACTGTGCTCTTCATAGTAATTTTATTTTGGAATTATTTATTTAAACGTAATTTCTCAATAAAATAGTTAATATATAACAACCGTCGAACTTATTATGTTGATTAATATGTTTTTATTATAAATTAATAATATTTATAACATTCTGATAGCTATTTAAGTTTTTGACTGAAGAAATCCGTTTTCTTGGCTGTCATTTCTTAAATAATACATTAAGTTTAAATATTGTCATAGAAATAGGCAAGAACATTAATAAAATTTTATTATTAGTTCCCGAATATAAAGTGCAAATTATAATTGTCTGAAAATTGCCGAGTTTATTAAAATCGGTTTATAGATGCCTAATCTACACGTGTTTATAATAAACTATTAACTCAATGTTTTCCTATGTAAAAACACAATAGTTTAAAATCAATGGGACACAGTGTATACATATTAATTAATACTCTCAGACTATTTGGTATCTCTCACTTGTAAAATAGGTTAAATGAATTTCATAGTAAGTATGGGGGTGACCATTAGCTGACCTAAGTGGCAGAGGTTGAAATCGACTCAAATTCCACTTCGCTTACCTCTTCCACCTTCACCATTATGATTAATTACTACCATAGTTTATGGTACCTCTCACTTGTAAAGTAGGTCATATGTTTGTTTGGGTAGCAGTAGAGATGACCTGCAGCTGACGTAAGTGGCTAAGGTTGAAATCGACTCGATTTCCACTTCGGCCAGCTCTTCCACCTTTCACAATTATGCTTAATTACTATCAGACTTTATGGAACCTCTCACTTGTAAAATAGGTTAAATGAATTTCATAGTAAGTATATGTGTGACCATTAGCTGACCTAAGTGGTAGAGGTGGAATTCGACTCGAATTCCTCTTCGGCCACCTCTTCCACCTTCACCATTATGGCTAATTATTAGCAGTCTTTATGGTACCTCACACTTGTAAAGTAGGTCATATGTTTGTTTGGGTAGCAATAGAGATGACCTGCAGCTGATCTAAGTGGTAGAGGTGGAACTCGAATCGAATTCCACTTCGCCCACCCCTACTACCTCCTCCGGCGTGTTTGATTACTATTAGATAATTTGCCCCTTACTAAATTGTACTACATCTTTATTAATATGTAAAGTAGGTGGAGATTAATTAGTACACTTGTATACTGTATGTACAAAATAATTAGCATTATCATAAATGTAATACAGTAAAAGATCATTTGGGTGAAGTGATTGGGTTTTAGCATTTGGTTCACACAAATGATCCATTCATACAAATGATCCTGCTAAAAATGTGATTAATAACAGCTATTTTTCCTATAATATTCAAAATTACACATTTTAATTGATATATGAGAAATAGTCTGTAATTTTCTGTTGTTTTAATGATTTAAATGAAGTTTTAAACAATTGTGTTAGCATTTTATTTAATTGTTCATTAAATGAGTTGTCATTCAAATGGCAAAAATATTTAGTTCACTCAACTGATCCTAAAATGCATTGAATTTTGTATAATAATAGCTCTAAATTGTTCATACAAATGGTACTTTTTTAACGTTATGTCTATGCAGTGCGGGTTTTGGTTTCAGGGTTTGGTTCATACAAATGGTTAGTTCACACAACTGCTACTTCACCCAAATGATCCAATACTGTATTATTAGTAACTAAATAAAACTAAATATAATTTAGCAAGAATATTCTTAATAATTAAGACCATGTCGTAACACATTGATAGGCTAACAGTTGGCCACTTGTTCAATGGTATGGATCTCTTGTATAGGATTTTATAGTTTGAATCAATAGTCAAAGTCATGACATCTGATCTCAAATCAAAGTACAGTATTTGTCCACTAATTGTTATTACACAACGGATTCTGGAATTAAATAGTAAATCGAAATTTTAATTAATTTAACATAATGATTAAAATCATTGAACGATGCACTCAATGCAACCAACAGTTGAATTAAACCCACACTTAATTGCAGTCTAAAAGACATTTAGTTTTAATTCAATTACAATCAAAATTATTGCAAAATAACTGTCAAAAGTAACTGTGTTTCAAATTTTGAAATATCAATACTTATCGTAAGTAACGGTTAAAACAATAATTGTTGAAATAAAAGCTATTGAAACTTTAATTAATTTTTATGTGATAACTTATCACTAATAACAGATTATATTAAAAATTATAATTGCATTTAAAGATTGACAACAAATTTTCATCAAATAATTTACATACAGACATTTTAATTATATTTATAAAATCGTTTTTTATATGCAATAAATTGTTTAAATATACAATTTATTCGTAAATATAATCAAAGAATTTGGTTTAATATAATCTTTATAAAAATTAATTGAATTAAAGTTATAACTAATAAATTAAATTTAATACAGCTATCAAATAATAAAATAGATTAAGAAAATAAAATGTGTTTAGTTTAAGAGTTTGTATTGTTTGATCCATAAAATAATTACTTCTTAGACTTAATGGGTGTCTGTATTCTCAGTTCTGTGGGTCTGTTATCACTCGACGCCGAAGATAACGATGTCGTCGACACTATTGACTGCAAAGTGTCTACATTTTGATTTACTGTTTTGTACTTCGAGTAAACTCTTGGTTTAATTGTGATGTCCTTTTCTTTTTCGGTAATAACTCTACATAAGACACGCCATTAATGCTGTCATCACTACTAGTATTAATGTAACGAATATTATGATAATCATAAGCAATGGAAAGCTCTTGTCTTCCATTTCTCCACATCTGAGCCATTGAGCGATTGTTTGTAAACATTGACTGACATTACTATAGATCAGCAATGCTAACAAATGCGTTTTTCCCATAAAAAATGTTTTGAGCCAATCATTATAAACGTTATAATGATTGACTAAATATAGTGCCCTTGAATTGAATGCATACTCATCTCATTCACCCCTTCCTTTCTATGATTATAACACTATGTATGAATAGTTGCTCTCTATATAATCACATTTGGCCAATTTTTGGCCATTTGTGGCTTTACTGCTATAGATGTAACACACGTTTAACGCATAGAATATTCTGTTATAATTATAAAGTATTAATTTAGAAAATAAATACAATACAAAAAATGATTACTTTTAATTATGATAACTTATAAATGTTTTAGGGTTTCAATATAATACTATTTATTGATATATCTAGTTCACTTTATGTTTAATCCATTATAAAGTCTCTAATTATGTCAGATATTTAATAACATTAAATTTATTATATATTTATTTCACGTTACGTTTAATTGTTAATAATTTATTCAAACTTTATTATGTTTATTGAAATGTCAATTAATCATAAAATGTAAAATAAAATGAAATTTTATTGTGTTTAAAGTTTGTATTCAAATAATTATAAATTTTATTCATTAAATAAAGAAAAAGAGAGAAATTAAAATTTAAGAAGATTGTTGCATAAAATTAAAATTAATGCTAAATATTTTCAAACAATATGTATTCATTATATCAATGATGCACTGAATTCACGCGTTAAAAGATTGTTAGTAAATTATTTAAAAATCTAAACATTTATTATGCAAATAAACAGTTCATTCAATCGCTTGAAATTATTTACAAATCATATGTGAAAACAATTTGTATTATAAATAAGAGTTAATATAATAATATGGCTGACAGTAAAGGAAGAATATTCTTGAAATTGGGACCAAAACCTACGGATAATCTTAAACAGGATTTTATAAACAAAACATTAAGAAGAGTTGTGTTGGAAAGCGGTTATAGTATAAAGAAATCAATGGTTAGTCCGAAAGTCTATCCAATTAATACCGACGACGTTATGAAGCAATTGAAACAAAAGGAAGATTTAGTATTGATTAGTGTTCCGGCCATTCGTCAGTTCCGCCTCTTCCCCGACGGCCACAAGTGGTCGGCTCTAAACACATGTAGAAGTCGTCACCTTTTGATTTGGTGTTTGAATGAGATTTTCAATCAATTTCAAGAGTTCCTGAAGTCTGACATGAAATCAGTCACTTTCGGTCCGCTGTCTGGCGTTGAGCTCAAGGAAATCGGACAAAAGACGGGCAAAAAGTATATCAAAAGTCAAGAAATGGTAGTAAATTCATTGATTAATCAATGGCTGGGCTTTGAGTTTGACGTTCACTACGACCTGATGCCCGACGACCCCTACGAGTCCCACAACACTGAACTGCATCGCGAATTGCATCGAAAAGTTGCCCATAAATTAGTGGACACTGAGGGACACAAAAAGGGTTAATGCAAACAAACCTTAATTCAACGATTGTTTGCATAGTTTTGATTTTGTTGTTTTATTTCATTATTTTCGCCATTTATTTAAATTTGATTTCAACTCAAATTCATACTTAAATTTCTGTTCATTTTTTCAATTTTTATGCTTTTTATTTAATCCAATAAACAATTTGTTTTATCATTTAATTTCTTAACATTTTATTTAATTATATTTACAGAAATTAACTAATAATTGTTATATCATTATTCAATGGTTTCGTAGATATGATGATCATTGTGTTCATACATTTTTAAATCATCGCTTAATTGTCTCCTTAAGTGATATTTTGTACTTTTATTATCACAACAAAACATATCATTAGTATTTTGGTAAATGTTTTCCTGTTTATTATTATCACACAATAGTTGTATGTATTTATGGCAATGTATGCAAACATTTGTATCGACAGTACTATTACTGTCATCACTACTGGCATTAAATTCACTATACTTTCCATAACTGTCCGAATAGGGGTCGGGTGTGATGTATGAGCCGCTAATCTTATAGCATTGGCTGGAATTATGGTAGAAATTAGGGACAGGTATACCAGTTGTACGGCGTTTAAGCCTAATTACAATTAGCACTAATATAATGCCAATAATCAAAAACACAATACAAATGATGAGTATTAGCCACCACTCGATGGTTAGCCTGTTATCAGCTATGGATGAAGTAGTGGTAGTGTTTGCTGTTGTTGTTGTTGTGGTATCTATTGATATGTCTGTAAAATCAGTTTTATTCATAGCAAACAAGTCTCTGTTATTATAGTTAACGCAATAGACATTATACAAGTGGTCGGCGACGGTCTCCCTGTCCTCATAAACCCATTTAACGTCATTGTATCGACACTTAATTGGGTTGTAAAGCAAATTGATCCGCACCTTATAGTCTGGCCGGCAATAGTCGGCGAACACATAGTAAGGCAATGCTTTCACTTTATTGTACCGCAAGTCCACGTCTACCGAACCGTTCGTATTGTCCACCGATATGTTAGACCTCTTTAGTTCATAAGCGGTGACCCAATTGTGGCTTAAGTCCACTTTCAGGTGCCGTCTGGTGGAGAAGCGGAGGCTATTCTCGGCCATACTCTCGACGCCCAAGTAGTTGAGATTGAGCTGAACGAGCCGTTCCAGTCCTGCGAAGATGTCTGCGCCCAATCCCGAGATGACATTGGTTTGCAAAGCGGTTCCCAAGTGTATGCACTCGAGGTTTGGGAAGTTGCGAACCTTAGGTCAAAGTGTGTGGCGTAAAACTGGGTGATGAATATCTCGGTCAATGTTTGGGAGCCGCGACTGAACAGCTGTTTGACCAGATGTTCTTCGGCCGACTCGAGGCTTAGTATCCGGAACTGGAGGTCAATTATCTGGTCGATGGCCTCAATGTCCAATTGTAGGGTTAGTTTCAAAACAATATATTTTAGTTTACATTTAATTTTAAACAATTTTTAGTTAAAACAGTTTATGGCTTAACTATTGTTGAGCGCATACATAGAGTTAGGACTGATTGTGGCTCAAAATCAAAAGATAGCAACCCTTTTATGACCCCTTAGGTTGTGTTTGAAACCCAGAACTCTGGTATCAATGCAATGACCACTCAATCTCTCCACTAACGACACAAGTCGTATAAACTCTTGGTATTCACCACAAGTTTAGTCTCTAATATTTTTGAAAAAATAAGTTTTGATTTAACGTAAAACTTTGTTTTAATTAATAAAATACTATTTCACAATAATAGAAAGAACCCTGATACACAGAATCATCAGCCCTCATCACTTTACAAGTTAGAAGTACCATAATGTCTAATAGTAATTAAGCATAGTGGTGAAGGTGGAAGAGGTGGGCGAAGTAAAAATCGAGTCGATTTCAACCTCTACCACCTAGGTCAGCTGCAGGTCATCTGTACTGGTACTCAAACAAATATATGACCTATTATACAAGTGAGAGGTACCATAATGTCTAATAGTAATTAAGCATAGTGGTGAAGGTGGAAGAGGTGGACGAAGTGGAAATCGAGTCGATTTCAACCTCTACCACCTAGGTCAGCTGCAGGTCATCTAAACTAGTACCCAAACAAATATATAACCTATTATACAAGTGAGAGGTACCATAATGTCTAATAGTAATTAAGCATAGTGGTGAAGGTGGAAGAGGTGGGCGAAGTAAAAATCGAGTCGATTTCAACCTCTACCACCTAGGTCAGCTGCAGGTGATCTGAACTAGTACCCAAACAAATATATGACCTATTATACAAGTGAGAGGTACTAGATCACAGAGGCACAGATCAAAATAAAATCGCTGTCCGTTACTATGCCCGACTGCAATCTGGAATAGACCCACACTTTATTTATTCATATATTGTGTCGTCATTCTTCGCCAACATCGCCTCGGCTCGCAGGTAAAGTATATTTCACCAACCTCTCAACAAATTCCGACAATCAGACGTTAGACATTTTTGTGTCCCAGACTTTTGTCAATAACTACTTTGTAAATATTGTCTGCTTTTTATAAATTACTTTTTATGAGTTTTAGTTATTTTTACAAATATATATATATATATTTATAGATTACTATGTAAACCAGCTTTTGCTGAAAGTGATTCCAATAAAAATTGATTGATTGATTGATTGACTACCGTGAGACGGGTCGTTAAGAGTTTCCAAAGCGCACACGAACTCAATTTCCGTCACAAATTATATATTACAATCAAATCAATTTAATATATTTTGTATGTTATATGTTAAATAAGTACATTTTAAATTCTAACAAATTAAATTGTGAAAGTTTCATCCCAAAACTTTAATCCCATAGTTTAATCCTAATCCCAAAACATAAACTAGTCTCTCATACACATAATGTTAAATAAACATTATTTGTTTGAATATTAACTTTGTGAACTTTGATCTGTGTGAACAAATTATAAATAAAATTATATGGCATTTAATGCATTTCACAATGAGTTGTGTGAACCATACAAAATAGCAAATTTATCGCCAAATAACTAAGGCTAGAAATGATATTTTAAATGTATATTTCAACATGATTCATTTATGAGATTTTACATTAAAAGTATTAGATTAATTGAATTGAATTGAATTGAATTTATTGATATTTAGACACGTAATGCATACAACAAAAGCTGATTTCCAATACAGACGTGTTTTTGTTTCAATAAATTATATTAAAAAGCTATAAATATTTACGTAAATTTAAAATAAAAGTATTAAAAGTATTTGATTTGCGAATCTTAAGGTCTAAGCGATTATAAAAATCTACCCCTTTATAAAATATAGAGTTATTAAAAACAGTTAATAA